CTATGTATTTGCCTATACATGCATTAGAGCAGGGAAGTGCTGGCTGAACCTAACAGACTTTCCTGATTGAAGAACAGGAGATTCAAGTTAGTGTTTCTGCTCTCATCCCTGTGAGATCCCATCAGATGGCTTTTTCATAAGACTTGGTTTCTGAAACACAAAAACAAAGCAAGATTTGTTGAAAGTATTCCATTCCTTCTTCAGGTACTTTTGCTCCTCCTGTGTGCAAGAAGTGCATTTTTATTTTGAAGAGACAAAAAATTGGCAGCAAGTTTCTGGAGATAAGCCTTCATTTTGTTGACACAAAATAAATGAATGCTTCAGGCTACTTTCTGTCTTGATTTGTAGTAGACTTCACATTGACAGGCAAATTAGACTGAGATTAAATAGAAGCTATTAATTTGCCTTATCTTTGGTATGTTAATTTCTGATCTGTTAAAGTAAGATTAGTACAGCAAATCAGTTTTATTTAAGCAGATGCCAAGAGATAGGGTTATTTTCCTTATTTTGAAAATGAAAGCTATTACTCTATTTCATTGCAGCCTTGAGCAGGGTGAGATGAGATCTGGAAATACCACTTGTGGAAAAGCTCTGAAGAGCCAAACCCTTTAATGAAATGGAATATTACTACCTTAATTTTTTAGCATTTCATAGCCATGTTGGTTAATATGTTAAGTATAATTCTTGTTAGCTACATGTATTACTCTGTTAAGCTTGCATCAGTAATTTTGCTGTCAGGATACATTGCAACATCCTAACCATGCATGCCGTTAATCAAGAACAATTCTAGCAAGCATCCCAGACATTTTGATTTAAACAAAATTTTCTCACATTCTCGCGCTGCAGTGACCTTGGCCATTGCCTTTTTTGGATAACGCAGGCCCTTCTGTACATCTATACTAAGCACGTGTACTGCACAATTCACTTAGGTCTGTCTTCCCGGTTTGTGTTTGTCCAAAGATAAAACAACACAATACAGTCAAGACTTAAATCACATGATACTTGTTTTCACACTTTTTACTATAGATAGATAAAAGCTTAAAGTTGTCATGACCATAATATCAGACCCTGTGTATAAAACAAACCACACTAGAAATCACAGTGTGAGATTTACCAAGCCACTGTCCTCTGAGACACGGAATTATTTTTCTGCTGGGAGGACCCAGTTTAAATGACACTGAATTTGGTCTTGCTTTTGATTACATATACTCCCAAAACTGCATACTTAACTTCTAGTTTGGATTTGTCTAGTTTCAGCTTCCAGCTCTTGAAACTACCAGTTTGTTCGCGAAACATAAACTGCTTACTGTTGCTAACCTCTTTCCCATGTAAGTATCTCTTAATTCCTAGCGAAAACAGATTGACAGGTTGGTTGGTCTCTTGCTGCAAGGTATGTTTTCCATATTTCATGTATTGCTTTAGCTCTGGGGTGGAGCATGATGTTTCAGCATCCTTTTAAAGTGGAAATTGCCAGAACTGCACACTGTTTCTCAAAGATTACCTCAAATGCTGCTGTGTATTCTGCACCAACTTAAAAAGATTTTTTTTATTAATATTGTGGATTTATCCTGTTCTTTCATTAATTATAATAGTAATTTGGGCACCAGTTAGACCATGTAAGCAAGGACATGGCAACCTTTTCTTTTATAGATAAAGGGGTATAGAAAAAAGCTATTCTATACTCTGGAGGTGAGTTTTCACTCTATACAGAGGGTGAATAGCTGGTTGCATTAAATGATTGAGCCTGTGTGAACACCTCCCTGCACTCCTTCCCTATGCGTGTGCACGTTCTGCACTGGAAAACTCAAGTCTTACACCTCTGATTTCCTGTCAGAAGAATTAGGATTACGTTAAACATTGCATGCTCTGTGCCCCACAGGAAAGATGTTCTGACGTACTAGAGACAAGTCTCTTTTTAAGAAATGGCATTAATGGGTTTTGCACAGCATTCAGTCCTTTTCCAAAAGCATACTTAACTGAGATGCAGGGTCTTAAGGAAGAGAGGGAGGTGAAAGGAAAGGATGGGAGATAGGGTATTCTCCATGCTCTTATGATTTGGTGGAAAGTGTCACCAGGATTAAATCAAGTCACAATAACGGTTGACGTTCTGTGTATGACCTAGGGAAGCAGCAGCTTTGTGCATTGTTCTAATTTTGGCATCTTGTACCACCTTGTTCTTGTGTGCTGCAGTAGCCAGCATGGAAGTTTGGAGCTGTGCTCTACCTCCGAGTGTGCCTGAGGTAATGTGGGAGATCTTTAGCAATGGGAATCTCCCCTCAGGACAAGTCACTCTGTCTTTCTGGAAGAAGACTTATTCTGTCTTCCCAGTAGCTGAAGAGAGCACTGCGATACCAGGCTGCTTCTGGCTGGCTGATGAAAACCATCAGAGACTTCTTCCATATAATCATTTTCTGAGCATAAACCCCAGATACTCCTTCCAAAATCTCCCTTGAGCAAAATGATATTCTGTGCTACAGCTCTGACCACTGTCAGCCTAGTAGTATTGAAGGGACAAAGCCTGGTATCAGGATCCAAATAATTGGAGGGGCTCCCCTGTGCTATTTGAACAACTTCTGTGTGTCAAGAGTTTGCAGAAACACACACGTTGGACCCAACCACCATGGTTTGGATCACTTTTTACCTGTCTCCCTGTCCTTGAACTTTTGTTGGAGACAAAAGCGAACACTAAGTTGATGAAACCCCAAAACTGAAAAACAATCGTCAGAATATCAAATCTACTCTGTCAAAGGATAGTCTTCATTCACATGGAATCGAGCTGGCAATTTAACTGGATGCAAATGCCTTTTAACTGTTCACATTTCCACAGCAGCTGGACTCAGCCTCTTGGTGTCTGCTTTCATCATTTACAAGGAAACTAGAAGCACCTATGTAAAGTGCACTGAGAAACACATTGACAAAACCACAAGTGTCATTCTGTCTTAAAATATTCTCTCCAAGACTTGTGGTCTAAACAGACCTGTGTTTCTGTCTTCAGGAATAGTTTCATCCAGCAGGATTGCCAGAAGGCAACAGAGAAAATTCTCTGCTGCTTTTGCTCCAAAGAGTTTGGGGTTTTCAGAAAAAAAAAAAAAAAAAAAACGTCACCAGCTGCATAATGGCTAAATTTGCCCATTTCCAACTTTGCAGTGGGGCAAAGAAAGTTTGTCAGGTATCTTAGAGACCAAGATAATGTCCATCTCTTTCTTTCTTCTAAATAAATACTGTTACGTGTTTAACTAGTTCACTGTTCCAGGTTGGATCTACTGTATTTACAGTTAGAGCTCAACGTTCATACTGCTTTCTAGAATCTGTCCTTTAATGGAATTTATGCAGTTGTGATCTGCGATCGCTGTTTCCTAAAGAAAGCAGCAAGGCTGAAATCACACTTCTGAGAGCCTTGCTGTTCCTGAGACAGAGGTCTTTTTCCTTTTTTTTTTTTTTTCTTCTTTTTTTCCCCCTCCCTTTCCCTCCACAAACAGACCTCTCCTCTATCATCTCACTCACAGCCTGTGCAGCTGCAGCTCTCTCTCATGAGCCACAGACAAGAGGGGCCCTTATTCTTGCTGGCGATGTTTCCTTTGTTCCCCAAAGGGTCAAAACTCAAAAGTGAAAAGTCTTGCCTGTTGATTAGATTGGCTGTATGCGGGGGAGGAGCCTTGTGTTACACAAGGGGCATAAGCAAGGGGCAGAGAACGTGTTTCTGGATCAGTCGGTGGCTGGACAGCTACCGCAGTTACCTGTATTTCCATTCTGCTGAGGTGGAGGTTTGAAAGAAACCGTTTCTGACAGACACAAATCAGACCCATGTTTTCTGTGGATCTTTTGGCGCAAGAAAACCTCTCTACCCAAGGACCGGGTGATAGAACCTTTAGATTCAAACCTGTCATTATAGATGAGTGTGTAAACCAGCTTTTTTGGTAAACATCATGTCCTCTCGCGCTGGCTCAGCTGACTGCTGACTTGACCACACTTGAACCTCTTGAGAAACACTTAACATGAAAGGCCCAAATACAAAAAAGAAAGCAGCCTGCTTCAGTGTGCCTTGACCTGGCCCAAAGACCTTGGAACCAGTGGTGGTTTACTGGAAGGCGGCCTGCAAGGGGCCCTGCATTTCTGCAGTTCATTGTCATTGCTCTTGGTTTATAGCAAGTCAGTATATTTTATTTTTTCTATTTCACTGGGCAATAGTAGCAATCAAAGTATGAGGAGTGGCATATTTCAGCCCTTGGACAGTTATTCAGGGATAAACTACCCGAAAATGTGATCTTTGTCATTATCTGGGGAAACCACTTCGCCCACAATTTCTCTGACAATTCCTCTGTCATACCCTTCATGAAAATGCGATTTGGATTTGTTTGCTCTTCCGGTGACCGTTAAGCTTTCCTCCTCCAGCTCCGAGGAGGAGAATTTCCAGTTTCTTTCAGGTATTCCCGAGTACGGAATACCGCTTGTGCCCGTGAATCCCGGGGTGCCCCGGGGGCTCCGCCGCCCCCCTGTCCCGGCTCCCTCAGTACGCGAGTGGCCCCCGCCCCCGCCAGAGCCAGCGCCGCGGGGCATGCTGGGACCTGGCCCTTCCCTGTGCCGCCCGCCGCCCCATTGGTGGGGCGTGCCCCACGTGCCT